GCCTAGTAAGGGATGCCCATATCCCATGAATGACTTTCTTTCAGATGATGACAGCGTTGCTATGCTAAGAATTCACTTTAGGTGATTTGGCATTTTATTTTGATGGGAATACGTGCACCAGTACCAGTGTATCATAACTTTGTTCTTTAGTAAAGTTGCAGTTACGATGTAAATTGAGTCTGATATAGTAGCAGAGTCCAACCATGCACCAAAATACAACGAAGTGGAACAGCCGAGCAGTTTTGGCCATGGTGAACTTGTCATGTGAATGCACTTTAGAACAGAATGAATCAAGAATTATATGAATTACTGTAAGTTTAGCAGGGGTCACCCTTTATCCATGCAAATTCTTACGTTCCTAATTTTTCTTGTTTGAGCTTCGACGGGGTGAAAAGATATGGCGCAAGATTTTCAAAGAAATACGTCAATTTTCCAGAAAAATATCAAGTCTCCTTTCCAATATAGTGTAATTCCTATTAGAGAACCTGTCATGTGTTTTAAGTGTACAATTTGAAGGTCCAAAGGTAAAATATTACCATGTGTTGACAGATACAACAATCATGAGTTGATAAATGATAAAAATAGAGGACGTGATACAATTGAGGTTTTTGGGGATACTGATGGGTAGATCAGCGAGGCCATATGAATTGTAAAAGGAGCAAGCAGTGTATTATGATCTATAGGTACAAGAATAGATTACAAATCTTAGTGATTGAGCAAGACATAATGTAATAAAGGAGTATATAGTTATCATTTGGGTTTTAAGTAGAGATAAAATACATATGCGGTTTTCATCCTGTGAAGGTCAGTGGTTTTTAAAGATGTTAAAATGTCATCTGGAATAGTGAGCTAAAGACTTTATTTACAGGAAACACGTGACCTGGGTTTTTTTGCCAGGCACTTAATCTGTCATCTTAATGAAGTGCTTAGAACATTAAACTTTCATGAGATATGGAGAAAACAAACCATAGGGCCACTCAAAAATCAAGTTTTCAGTGCTAAAGAGCAGCTTGTTGTGAGTAGAAGCTGTTATATAGATATCTCCATGCTGTGATGGTTTATTTTATGTATTCTCCAAGCTGTGAGTTAATGTAGAAGTTTTCAACCTGTCAGAACCAAGTCTATAGGCCACTAAAGCTGGAAAGAGCTGAGTAAGAAATTGGAGTTAAGACAAGAGTGACACTTCTATTATCAATCACTGTATCAATAACCGTTTATATCTATTTGCATTATCTGCCTTACTTTGAATGTTCCACACATTAAGACATATAGCCTTTCAATTTATCTTTTTAACTTTGTTAGCCATCTTAGCCAATATGGCCCCATTTTGTTTTTCTTCCATGTTTGTTCTGCCTTCCACTTTTGTTTGTTATCTTTCTGTCTATTTTTGTTTCTATCCTTGTTACTTCCTTCCCTCTCCCTGCTCAGGTTCCCATGCTCCACCCCAAGGACATTGGTCCAGTCCTGCCCAGATGCAACCTGTCCTGTTTTTACCAGTCCCACCTTCCCCAGAACTGGTCCTAATGTTCCAGGAATTGAAATCTATTCTACCTACACCACTTCTCCATCCACTTATTCATCTCGTATATCCTGTTACTTTTACTGTCACTAGCATGTGTCACCGGTGGTAATCTTGAGATTGGTACCTTTCAAAGTCCTAAATTTTAATTTGTTGCCTATATTATGCTTCTCTGTATCCCTTTTTGGACCTATGGCTTTGGTACCAATATGTACCACAATCAATGGCTGTTCACCCTCCACCTTTTAAATGACCTGCAGCTACTGGGACATCTTTCACACTGGAACCAGGGAGGTAACGTACCATCCAAGAGTTTGTTTTTCAGCCACAGAAATGCTTGTCTGTTCCCCTTAGAATTGAGTCCATTGTAACTGTAGCCCTGCCATTTTTCCTCCCTATGCATCAGAACCACCCGTGGTGCAATGGACTTGGTTTCTACTGCTATCCAAGCAAGCCACTTGGTTCAAAGGCAGTTGGAGATGGGCAACAAAAGCTGGCTTTACCAGTGACACCCACAGCCATGAAAAAAATTTAAAGTCTGCTTTGAGAAGAACTTTTACACTTAATGGTAAGGCCCTGGGGAGTGTTGCTGAACAAAGAGACCTCGGATTGCAGGTTTACAGTTCCTTGAAAGTGGAATCACAGGTAGATAGGATAGTGAAAAAGGCATTTGGTATGCTTGCCTTTATTGGTCAGTGCATCGAGTGTAGGAGTTCTGAGATCACGTTGTGGCTGTACAAGACTTTAGTTAGGCTGCGTTTGGAATGCTGCATGCAGTTTTGGTCTACCTGTGATGGGAAGGATGTTGTGAAACTTGAAAGGATTCAGAAAAGATTTACAAGGATGTTGCTGGGGTGGAGGCAGAGGCTAAAGAGGCTGGGACTCTTTTTTTCCCTGGAGCATAGAGGGTGAGGGATGACCTTAAAGAGGTTTATAAAATTGAGGGGCATGGATAGGGTAAATAGACAAGATCTTTTCCCTGGGGAGGAGGAGTCCAAAACTAGAGGGCATAGGTTTAATGTGAGATAGGAAAGATTTAAAAGGGGACCGGAGGGTCAACTTTTTCATGCAGAGTGGTGAGTGTTTGGAATGAGCTGCCAGAGGAAGTGGTGGAGCCTGGTACAATTAAAACAATTAAAAGGCATCTGGATGGGTATATAAATAAGCAGGGTTTAGAGGGATATGGACCAAATCTGGCAAATGGCACTAGATTTATATAGGATATCTGGTTAGCATGATGAGTTGGACCAAAGGGTCTGTTTCTCTGCTGTATGTCTCTGACTCTATAAATGAAGATGGTTGTCAGCAAGAAATGGCAGCAAATTAGTGCGAGTTGTACAAGAGTTTCATAACCATTTTTGAGTATGAACTGTATCCAATAACATCTCCTGAGTTCAGCCAAATAGTGTGCAATACTCTTTTCTGGCCTGGCATTCCTGTGTTGTTTTTAAGTTGTTTAGTGAGTAATAGAGAACCACGCTAAAATACCTTTTTATTGCAAAGACTTCAATAAGTCAGCTATCTCCTTGACAAATATGAAATGTTACAAGTCGGTTGTCAATGTAAACCATAACACAGTCTCTCTCGCACTGGAAAAATTCAAAACTCTTCAATGTTTACACATTGAATTCTTTTGTGGCTGTTAGCAGAATGTTTTAATCCTGCACATAACTACTGGTCTCTGTTGGTTTTGAATCTCTGTCTTATCTTGCAGTTGAAAGAAGGTTTGCAAATGCTAAGACTTTTCAGAACCTAGTCTTTCAAATTGTCGGCTCCTTTCTTTGAGACTAGTCTGCAGATTTTAATTTTTTTTTTTAAAAAATGACAATCAGAACAAAAGCATATCAATTGAGCATGCTTCCAGTGTTTGCCAAGCAAACCTTTGGCAGCCTTCCTGATGAAATCTGTTTGTGTTCTGTTCTGTTAATTTGTTACTTCTATTCATGGTCCTCTAAACTATTCTTCTCTCACGTTTGCTCACTTTTCTAAATTAAACATGACAAAACCATGTTATTCCAAAATACTGCAGTGTGTAGGACTGCTACTCTTGGCAACTGCAGATTATACCTGTTGTTTATTGGTACTAGCTGTCAGAATTTACTAAATGCAACAGCAGTGAATTATATAGCACCTACCCATGCTCATCTTCATGTGCCAGATGGAGAAGTGTAGGGAACAAGATATACCTTTTTAACCTTGCTCATTAAAATATTCAACACTGTCAGTAGGGTAGAACTTTGCAAGCTTTTGGAAAACTTGGCTATCCATCAGACTCACGTGTTCTCCTCTTCCACGATAACATGCATGGTACTGTACAGTTTGGTATTACTTTTGACCGTTTGATGGTGACAAATGTGCTGGCTATGTGCTATGTGCTGGCTCCCAATTTGATATTTTCTTTTCTTTGTGGATTTGCCTTCATGCGAGGTCAGAGATGGCAAACTCTATAATCTGTCCGATTTGAAAGCAAAGACACACACTGCATATCTATATGCTAGTTGTTTAAATGCAAACCCTACGGTTAAGACTCATAGATTTGCATTCACAGGTTCTCCTTTTACTCTAAACTGCAGGGAAGCTGTGGTATGGGGCACGGTGTCACATTTCTACCCACAATCGCACTAAATAGTGCCTCATTGCAGGCGTTAGCAAATTCTGCTATTTTGGGTCCAAAGTATTACCATGCCTATTCATGCAGGACTCAATCCACACATCCAGAGAAAGCAGCTACCACCTTTGGCCAACCCTTAAAAACATGTATGGCACGACATTAAACTGACTGTTCAGACTTCATTATAGAGCTGTGAAGTATGGATGTAAGCTGGAATGGACTACCTGAAGGTGTAACGGAGGCAGGTTTAGTCATGACGTTCAAAAGAAAGTTAGACCACAATCTGAAGAGGAAATACTTGTAAGATCATGAGGAAAAGGTCAAGGGGATGGTATGTTGAATTGCTGTTTGAGAGCCAATTGAGAGATAATAGGCCAAATGTTGGCCTGTGCCGTAACCACCTGTATGTGGACAACGTTATATTGTGCAAGTCTATATCCTGGCTTCCACCTGACTAATGTTAGTCTCCTCTAGCATTTGAGGGTAATGAGAGAGGCCCTCACTCTTATTGGAGTATGGTTCTTTGCTGTGGCCAGCCTTTCACCAACTATTTACAGTGCACCTTTTAGTCGAGTTAAGTTTTTCCGATGATGGCCAGGGAGAGGAGATGAAGTCATTTGTTCAGTAATATGGTTATTCATAAATTCGTTAGCACTTCTGGCAGAATCCATTCTTCCCCAACAAATATGCACAGTTCTATCAGATGCTGCCACACCTGCTGAGCTTTTCCAGCAATTTTTGTTGCACAGTTCTATCGTTTGTACTGTATACTATTCTCATCTTATTGTAAAAGCAAGTTTTCTTGTAATATGAATATACTGGCAGTCTAACAGGATTCAATCTAATATTCCTGTATTTGTTTTCCTTTAGGTATTGAATGCTCAGCGGGCTGGATACAAAGCTGCCATTGTACACAATGTTGACTCTGATGAACTTATTAGTATGGGGTCCAATGATGGTAAGTAAGCTAGTAACTGTACTAAGATCTGTGCATTTGCACTAGGGTGGGATCTCAGCTACTTCAATGTTAGCAGGCTTGTGGAGTAAAAAAATTCCTCTTCGCTTTGAGGATAACTTTCATTGTATTGTGTAGCATTACCCCTGTGTGTACTCAGCACCTTTTACACTCACGGCTGTGTGGCTAAATTCAGCTAGAGCTCCACTTACAAATTTGCTGATGACAGCGTTTTAGTGGGTTGGGTCTCAAACAACAGCGAGACAGGAAAGAAATACAGAGCTTAGTGGCATGCTGTAAAGACACCAACTCTCCCTCAATGTCAGCAAAACAAGGAGCTGGTCATTGACTTCAGGAAGCGGAGTGGACGACATGCCCATGTCAGCATCCATGACGCTGAAGCGGAGATGATCGAGAAGTTTAAGTTCCTAGGAATAAATATCACCAACAATCTGTTCTGTTCCATCTACATTGACGCTACAGTCAAGAAAACCTACTAACGCCTCTACTTTGTCACAAGGCTAAGGAAATTCAGCCTGCCCACAATGACTCATCAATTTTTATATATGCACCCTTGAAAGCATCCTATCTGGATGTGTCACAGCTTGGTATGGCAACTACTCTGCCCAAGACAGCAAGAAATTAGAGAGCTGGGAACACAGCCCAGTCCATCACACAAACTAGCGTCTTTCCATTGATTCAGTCTACACTTCCTGCTGCCTCGGGAAAGCGCCCAACATAATCAGCGACTCCTGCCACCCCAGTTATACTCATTTCCACCCTCTTCAATAACACAGAAGATAAAGTTGGAAAACATGTGCCAACAGATTCAAGTGCAGCTTCTTTCCCGCCGTTAGCAGACTTAGGAACGGACCTCTCATGTTAAAGTTGAACTTTCTCTGCACCTGTAACACTATGCTGCATTCTATTCTATATACTTACGTAAGGTATGATTTGTCCGGATAGCATGCAAAACAATACTTTTCACTGAGACGACAAGGTGCAGAGCTGGATGAACACAGCAGGCCAATCAGCATCAGAGGAGCAGGAAAGCTGACGTTTTGGTCTGGAGCCCTTCTTCAGAAATGGGGGAGGGGAAGGGGGTTCTGAAATAAATAGGGAGAGACGGGGAGGTGGATAGAAGATGGATAAAGGAGAAGGTAGGTGGAGAAGAGACAGACAGGTCAAGGAGGCGGGGTTGGAGCCAGTAAAGGTGAGTGTTGGTGGGGAGCTAGAACATAAGAACATAAGAACTAGGAGCAGGAGTAGGCCGTCCGGCCCTTCGAGCCTGCTACACCATTCAATAAGATCATGGCTGATCTTTTCGTGGACCCAGATCCACTTACCCGCGTTCTCACCCTATCCCTTAATTCCTTTATTGTTAAAAAAAAATCTACCTGATCTTTAAAAGCGTTTGCTGAAGTAGCGTCAACTACTCCACTGGGCAAGGAATTCCATAGATTAACAACCCTCTGGGTGAAGAATTTCCTTCTCGATTCAGTCCTAAATCTGCTCCCTGTAATCTTGAGGCTATGCCCTCTTCTCCGAGCTTCACGTGCCAGTGGAAACATCCTCTCTACTTCTATCTTATCTATTCCCTTCATAATTTTATATGTTTCTATAAGATCCCCCCTCAATCTTCTGAATTCCAATGAATATAATCCCAATCTACTCAGTCTCTCCTCATAAGCCAACCCCCTCAACTCCAGAATCAACCTAGTGAACCTCCTTTGCACCCCCTCCAGTGCCAGTACATCCTTTCTCAAGTAAGGAGACCAAAACTGCACACAGTACTCCAGGTGTGGCCTCCCCAGCATCTTGTACAGATGCAACATAACCTCTCTGCCTTTAATCTCAATCCTTTTAGCAATGAAGGACAAAATTCCATTTGCCTTCCTAATTACTTGTTGTACCTGCAAACCTACCTTCTGTGATTCATGCACAAGGACACCCAGGTCCCTCTGCATAGCAGCATGCTGCAACTTTTTACCATTCAAGTAATAATCCTTTTTACTATTACTCCTACCAAAATGTATGACTTCACATTTATTTACATTGTAATCCATCTGCCAGACCTTTGTCCACTCACTCAATGTATCTATGTTCCTCTGCAAAGTTTCACAGTCCTCTGCACACTTTGCTCTGCCACTCATCTTAGTGTCATCTGCAAACTTTGACACCCTACACGTGGTCCCCAACTCCAGATCATCTATATAAATTGTAAATAATTGCGGTCCCAACACCGATCCCTGAGGCACACCACTAGTCACTGACTGCCAGCTAGAATAGCACTCATTTATCCCCACTCTTTGCTTCCTGTTAGTCAACCAATCCTCTATCCATGCTAATACTTTACCCTTAACGCCATCCTTATCTTATGCCGTAGCCTCTTGTGCGGCACCTTGTCGAAGGCCTTTTGGAAATCTAGGTACACCATATCCACTGGGTCCCCATTGTCCACCTTGCTCGTAATCTCTTCAAAAGATTTGTCAAGCATGAGCTGCCCTTCATGAACCCATGCTGTGTCTGCCCAATGGGACAATTTCTATCAAGATGCCTTGCTATTTCTTCCTTGATAATAGACTCAAGCATCTTCCCCACTACAGAGGTTAAGCTAACCGGTCTATAATTCCCCATCTTTTGTCTACTTCCCTTTTTAAACAGTGGCGTCACATTTGCTGTTTTCCAATCTGCTGGGACTGCCCCAGAGTGCAGCGAATTTTGGAAAATTACCGCCAGTGCACCTGCTATTTCTCCCGCCATCTCTTTTAGTACCCTGGGATGCATTCCATCAGGGCCAGGAGACTTATCAATCCTTAGCTCCATTAGCTTGCCCAACACTACCTCTTCCGTAATAATGATTGTTTCCAGGTCCTCACCTACCTTCGTCTCTTTGAGAATTACTGGCATGTTATTAGTGTCCTCCACTGTGAAGACCGATACAAAATACCTGTTCAATGCCTCGGTCATTTCATCATATCCCATAACTAAATTCCCCTTCTCATCCTCTAAAGGGCCATGGTTTACTTTAGCCACTCTTTTTCGTTTTATATATTTATAGAAACTTTTGCTATCTGTCTTTATATTCTGCGCTAGTTTTTTTCTCATGTTCTATCTTACTTTTCTTTATAGCTCTTTTTGTGGCTTTCTGTTGACCTTTAAAGTTTTCCCAATCTTCTAGTTTCATGCTGTTTTTAGCCACTTTGTATGCCTTCTCTTTCAATTTGATAGCCTCCCTTATTTCTTTAGACACCCATGGCAGATTACCCCTTTTCTTACAGTCCTTCCTTTTGATTGGAATACACTTTTGCTGAGCACTTTGAAAAATTGCGCTCCACTGCTCGTCAACTGTCCCACCATAAAATCTTTGTTTCCAGTCTACTTTAGCCAAGTCCTCCCTCATTCAATTGTAGTTCCCCTTGTTCAAGCACAGAACCCTGGTAATAGATTTTATCTTCACACTCTTCATCTGTATTCTAAATTCAACCATACTGTGATCACTCCTTCCAAGAGGATCCCTAACAATGAGGTCATTAATTATTCCTGTCTCATTACACAGGACCAAATCTAGGATAGCTTGTTCCCTCGTCGGTTCCATTACATAGTGTTCAAGAAAACTATCACGGATACACTCAACGAACTCCTCCTCAAGGCTACCGCTGCCCAAGCGGAGGGGATAGGTCGGTCCAGGGAGGACGGACAGGTCAAGGAGGCAGGATGAGACTAGTAGCTAGGAGATGGAGGGGGCTTGAGGTGGGAGGAGTGGATCGGTGGGAGGACAGGTTAGGGAGGTGGGTACAAGCTGGGCTGGTTTTGGGATGCGGTCAGGGGAGGGGAGATTTTGAAGCTTGTGAAGTCCACATTGATACCGTTGGGCTGCAGGGTTCCCAAGCGAAATATGAGGTGCTGTTCCTGCAACCTTCGGGTGGCATCATTGTGGTACTGCAGGAGGCCCAGGATGGACATGTCATCCAAGGAGTGGGAGGGGGAGTTGAAATGGTTCGCGACTGGGAGGTGCAGTTGTTTGGTGCGAACCGACCGTAGGTGTTCCGCAAAGCGGTCCCCAAGCCTCTGCTTGGTTTCCCCGATGTAGAGGAGGCCACAACGGGAACAGCGGATACAGTATACCACATTAGCAGATGTGCAGGTGAACATCTGTTTGATGTGGAAGGTCTTCTTAGGGCCTGGGATGGGGGTGAGGGGTGAGGTGTAGGGGCAGGTGTAGCACTTCCTGCGGTTGCAGGGAAAAGTGCCGGGTGTGGTAGGGAGTGTGGAGCGGACAAGGGAGTCACGGAGGGAGTGGTCCCTCCAGAAAGCAGATAAGGGTGGGGAGGCAAAAATGTCTTTGGTAGTGGGGTCGGATTGCAGATGGTGGAAGTGTTGGAGGTTGGTGGGGTGGTACATGAGGACGAGGGGGATTTTTGGTTATTATTGCAGGGAGGGGGTGTGAGGGATGAGTTGCAGGAAATGCGAGAGACACGGTCAAGGGTGTTTTCAACCACTGTGGAGGGGAAGCTGCGGTCCTTGAAAAATTCAATGAATTTACCATCATTGAGTCCCCCTCTATCAATATTGTAGGAGCTACAATTGAACAGAAACTAAACTGAACTAGCCATGCAAGTGGCTACAAAAGCGGGTCAGAGTTTAAATTCCTATAAGTAACTAACCACCTGACTCCCCAGAGCCTGTCCATCAGCTACAAGGCACAGGCCAGGACTGTGATGGAATATGCCTCGGATAAGTGTAGCTTGTTTGGGCAGCACATCCACTCCCTCCGCTGACCCTCAATCGCAACAATATCTGTCATCTGCAGGATGCATGGCAGAAATTCAGCAAGACATAGGTCTTTGAATTCCATGCAACTGCTTTCTAGAAGGACAAAGGTAGCAGTTAGACGGGAACAAAACCCCATGCAAGTGATGCTCTTGCTCTCTTCCCCCACCTTCCATACTCTCCTGACAAACTATTGAGTATCTGAATTTCAATTCTCCAGCTAACCAAGA